AAAAGTATCTAACTAAAGTAAAACAAATCCACACATCGAAGTAAGATTAATAATGCCAAAACATGAGGTCAAAAATACCGTGAGATGCCAACATCCAATCCCAAATTACAAGTATTTCATACAATATGAAAAGTTTTACAAAACAAGATGCGATAAGAATATTTTATTTTATCAAATGGTCAACCAAAACGAGTAAACAAACAAAAGTTATCGAGAACCCAAAATAGTAACCGTGGAATTCTTTCTGGGATGGAGGGAGTACAAAATATATTCCCTCTATCCTAAAAAGATCACAACATTACGCTAAACGAAGCAAATTTTTTAGTTTTTTTTCAATTCATTTTATTTAAGATTGGCATAGAAATAAAAAATAAAACTTACATATTTAAAAACTACGTCAAAAGTTTTAGAAAATAAGAGGTGACACGAAAATTTTACTTTACCAAATAATTAATGAAAACGCAAAAATAAATAAAAATTCCTGTAATTTTTGAATAGGGAAGTGTTGCAATCTTTTTGAGACAGAGGGAGTAGAAGATTTTATTTTGATATAAATTTTAATTACGTTACTTTTATTTAAGTTGATTTCCACTTTTCCAGAGGCAGATAATGTAGCTTGGAGTTATTGGGGGCCAATGTCCGAGACTAAATTTTGGTGTTAAACTAATTTTTTAGGAGTACTTTGTAATTTTGTATGCCCGCCATCTAAAATTTGAGGACCCATCTAAAACTATGTCACCAAACCAGTTTTTAAATATTTATTTTATTTGTTTTAGTAGTGTATTTTTTTTTTTGAAAAGTATTAAAGTGTATTTTATTTCATATAACTACTTCGTAATTATTTATAAAGTAAATTCTACTTTGCCAATTAAAAGCATTCCACATTCAAAAAATTAAATGCTTAAAATAAAATTCATTATTTTTCATCTCATATTGCCATTAAAAAAAATAGAGAGCAAACCCTCGACTAATGGTGTCCCCATCTTGTCAAATTCTTGAATCTGTCACTGTAATGATTCCTTATATTCTTACCGATAATACTCAAGAAATCTCCACAGATTATAATAAAATTTAGCTTTTATTTTCAAAATAAAAGTTCCATGTCTATATATTCGAAAAAACTTCTTGATTGAATATAATGTTAATCTCTCTCTCTCTCACTCTCTCTCTCTCTCACACACATATAGAGCCCAATGTCATACTGAGCCCCGTTGGTAGAATTATATATGGTTACTGTCTCCCTAAATCTCTTCACATTCCCCATGCTCCCTTAGCCAATTGACTACCTACATTGGCCACTGCAATCAGCAAAAGGGAGGGAGCCCGGGCCAGGAGGATCAAGAGATAGTAACCATCTATAACGGAGTCCCGTAAGAAGTTTGAATCATCCTATGACATTCGGCGCCAATGCCACATGAAGTGTGTGGTGTATATATATGACATGTTGTTATAAAAACATTAGATTTCTAAAAAAAAGTCCATGAAAAATATTGCTCCCTGTCCAATTATCTTCCTGTTGTGCGTTTGATAGAATTTGGAATGAGTATGGACAACTAGATTGAATTATAAGACACTTGGGTTGAACCACATTAAAAGATTGAATCCAATCGATTAGTTAGTTTAACTCAAGAGCTTATATACCAGATTATTTTACTCTTGAACTTTCGATGTGGGATGCACTTTAATACTCCCCCTCAAGTAGACAACCGGGCCATTTTTAAATCTAACCGGTTGACCACTTGCAAATGAACTTCCATTCCCTTGATTTTTTTTGAGCACCAACACCTAAAGGACCACGACCTACTGGGTATGGACTTCCAGACGAGCAATCATGTTAAACGGGCCACAGGCCGTTGAATACATACTTCATATGGACAACTGGGCTAAAGACTAACGGGCCGCTAGGAATGAACGTCTAGACGAACACCTTGACAAACGAGGTGGGCCAAATCTGCTCCGATACCATGAAAAAATTATTTAGGAGGAAATTCTATGTCTTTCTCTCTTATCTCATTTACAAAAGAAGACATGTATATATAGGCTCTCATAGGTTGAGAGACCTAATCACAAAAGAAAACAAAATCAACCTTATACAAGGAAGCTACCAAAAACATTATATACCAAAATATATACGAATATTCTCTTTCATTTAACAGCGTTAGATATTGAGAGAAAATACTTACAACTCATTTTAAATAAAAAAATGATGTTAAATTAAAAAAAAAGGTAAAATTGCAAATCTTTTACATGCAGAATTGACATGTATTTTTCTTTTAAAAAAACAATTTTTTGTAATAGCTAATAGAATTTACCTTGGATGTGAGGTGGGGCTGGGGAAGGAAGGAAATGGAGAGTGGGGTCCATGTGCAGAGGCAAAGGGAGATGACTAGTAGGAGAGAAAGCATGGCCAGAGAGGTGATGGGGTATTTCTTGTTGTGGCTGCGATCCATCTTGACGCCGGTTGTCATGGTGGTGATCCTCCCGCCGCCCGCCGCCGCCGCCGCCTTGATGATCTCCGATCCTCACTCACTGCATGGAAGAAAGTTTGTTAATTACTACCCCGTAATAAATGGAGCTAGCTTGCTACTAGGTGTTTAACTTTTCAAACCAAAGATGTTATAATAAGGAGTGGTAGTATGAATCACACCAACTTAGGGGGTTTGACCGGTTTGTTACTACTTTGGGGGCTTGTACGTATACACTATATTGAAAATTGTTCGTCTCTCCGTCTTAAAACGTTTTTCTCAGAACTTTTGGCGTAATTTAATTTTTTTAATATATAAATTTTATTTTTTAATTTTACACCTACAATTAAATAAATTGAATTGAAAATAAAGTCGGCGAAATCACGTAAACAGAAACAGGAAGAACGTTTTAGGACAGATGAAGTATATTTTACTTTTTTAAATAAAAAATGTTTTTAGTCACCAAAAATCTAGAGTAAATTCTCTAAATAGTCCCTTATAATTGTAATTTTTTCATATTTAGTCTATATCTATCAAATATTATCTTAACAGTCTTTATTATTTGGGTCCATTCATGTTTGGTCCCCCGTCAATTTTTCCGTCTCCTTGTCGTTAGACAATGACTAAACTTGGAATGATACCGATATAATAAGGACCGAGAACATAATATTTGATAAATATAAACTAAATATGAAAAACCTCCTATTTATAAAAGACTATTTAGAGAATTTATTCTTTTTTTAAAACACTTTTTAATATAGAAGTTTATAAATATGAAAAGTGTATGATTGTAGTTTATCCATAAAAAGTCAAAATTTATACTTACACCATAAAAAAATAATTCCCGAAAAACAGATTTATGATGTTAAAACAAATTAATTACTTTTAATTTCTTTTAGAAAAGAAAATAAACTATAACTAAAACATGATTCCTAAAAAACATGATGAAAGTACCATAATAGAAGTTTTATGTTTTTTAATTTCCAAAATAGAACACAATGCTAATAATGTCAATATAGACATAGTACCCAAAAAATACGGTGAGATGCCAGTATACAGTATCAGAATGTTACAATGTAAACTCTTATTTTGAGGAAAAAACCTAGAACTCTTATTTTGATAATAAATGCTATATTTTGCTCTTATTTGGGGTGATTTCTTATTTTTTTAAATTTCTATCAAGTCCAAACTAATTGTCGTATTAAAAAATTAAATTTTTGGTAAACAATTTTTTAGGGTGTTCAAATTTTGACCTTTTATGATTAAATTACAATTTTACATTTTTCTATATTTATTAACTTTATATTAAAAGTAGTTTAAAGATGGCAAATTCTCTAAATAGTCTTTTATAACTGATGATTTTCTATATGTAATCCATATTTATCAAATGTTTGGTTTATGGTCTTATTCATTGTGTATCATTTCACGTCTAGTCCTTGTCTAACGACACAGAGATTAAAAAATATACGTAGGATCAAACGTGTAATACTACCCAATTAATAAGGACTGTCAATAGAATATTTGATAAATATTGACTAAATAGGGAAAATCCCTAGTTATAAATGACTTTTTAGAGAATTTACTCAAAAATCCATATATTTATTGTATTTGTCACAAAATAAGGTTTATAGTATATTTTCTACGTTTTCAATGTGACACTTTGACGACTATTTATATTAATTTTTCTATCTAAATAAGTTTTATAAAAATATACTATTTCTGTCTAAAAAAGACACCTTATTTTCTTTTTGAAACATCTCAAAAATAGACTTCTCAATCATTTTATAAAAATGTTTGAGTGACTTACAATATTTCTATCTTTCCTGTATCACTTTCAACCACATATTTTCACGTTCCTTAAACTTTATCCAAGTCAAACTCGAAGCTCTTTTTTTGGGATGGAGGAAGTAATAATTTACATTTATAATTCAAGATTAATTAAATGATATTAATTTTATACTCACTCTGTCTCAAATTAATCTTCCTTATTTACTTTTTGGATTGTCCCAAATAAATATTTCTCTCTTTTTTGGTAAGTTTTTTGTGACTAATTTTTTCTCTCATCTGAATCATTTTTAAATATACAATTTTATATTTCCTAAATTTTGCCGAGAGTCAAACTAGGAGCATTAAATTAAGATGGAAGAAGTATTATTATTCAATATACTATTTGCAAATTTTGTGGTGTAGTTAAAAAAGAGCTTATGGTCCACCACAAGGTGATTTTTTATAATGGGAGGTCACATGTTTACTGTTTGAGAATATATGTATGAACAGACACTATTATAATTATTAGTGTTACAAAAAACTCACCTAAGTTTGTGACCAATATTTTAGGGTTCGATCCAAATTACCAAGAGCATCCCCTGGTCCAGTTGCGAATATATGGGCACATGTGTATTTCTAGATAAATGGAAGAGTTCATGTGACCTTGAACCCGCATGTCATACTATGCGTTGAAGAAGCATGTCATGCTCGTATGTCATTCATACGTTACAGAAATATTTTATTTAAATAGTAAAATATGTAGATAGGAGAGTATAAAGGAAAAAAATCACCCATCCTGCAATTAATCAATTAATTCCGGGAACAAGCAAAGAGAGAAAGAAGCGATGGCGTCCTCCAAATATCAGGCGGCGCCGTATCCCAGTGCGGCGAGGCTCTCCGATTCCGATTGCTACCAGGAGTACAGCGCTTCACTTAAATGTAGTACTAAATCCGACTCTGTTTATCTTATTGTTTCCGCTTTCTTATTGTTTTCCTCTGTCGGTACCAATATGTGTAAAGTGCTTCAATTCATAATGTTTCTAATCTCGTGTTTCTTAAAAGGACGCCACAATTTTATTGCCTTCTTTACATGTTCAGAAAATTATACCAAAGTGCAAATAATTGAATTTGAAGCTGATATATTTTGGAAAATAGCAAAGGAAGAAGAGTTAGTTTGACCTAATGCATAGTTGAAGAAATCATTTTCACAGTAGAGAGTGACAGACGCATTAGGTTGTAAGAACCATATACCTGCACAAGTTAATTGGTTCACAATCAATTCTTATTTGATCGCCTAAATTTTAACAATACTCTTGAGTGGTATAAAAGTTACCTGTTAGTCTTTGATTTACTATGTTTTTTAAATTTATTACTTCTTTTTCTTTCTGAGCTAAAGGAATAACATATTTATTAAACTAGTATTCTGTCCAAAGTCCCTTAAGTTGGCAAATATTGTATGGTGTAAGTCTTATTGAGGCTACAATGGAGTTTCCATATCTATTTGGAAAGGACTTAAGACACATACTGGGTAATCAATGCTAGGACAATTTCGTGTTCCACTTTCGAGGTTGGAAGTTCTCCAAAAATTTAGGGTTTTTAGGGAGGAGTAATTAGAGCAATAAGAGAATGTTTTGCAAAATTCTGCACATTGTGCATTCATTTAGTTTCCGAAAAAAGTAAATACAACAGGTTTTGAAAATAATTCCCTAAATATCTAGTAGCCATGGTAGGGGTTTTTATTCTTGTGTATTGTTATCTATTCACCCTTTCTGTTTCTTTAGTTTATTTTTCCTTGCTGTTTTTCTTTTGTTACTTGTTTGCCTCATCATGTTTTTATGTTTTCTTGAGCCTTTGAGAAACAGAGTCTCTAACTCTATAGTTAGGAGTAAGGTCTCTTTACATCCACCCTCCCCACATTCTACTTGTAGGGACCTTAGGCTTAGTGGGTTGTTGGCGTTGATGATATCTTGTGACATTTGTATTTTGTATGCTTTGCAGGTTTAGAAGAATTTAGCTCCGACAAGAGTAAATGTCAAAAGCATTTTGACATGTACAAGGAATGTAAGAAAAAAGAGGTATTACTATCACTTTTTGCTCTGCAACTATATTTTCACCTTCAGGGATTTCTGCTTTTGTACGAGCTAGGGAAAAATATTACTCCAGTAGTTTGGCAAGAATTAGGCATAGCATAACAGAGTTTGGGACTCCTCTCTTTATATATGGGGAAATTCTAAACACGGTAAGAGTCCAATAAGAAGAAGAATTAAGTTATCAGAGAAGAAGTATTCTAACTCAATACTAAAATGGGGCAAGGTTTGCCTTGTCCCTTGCATTTTGCAGAAGATTTTTGCAGTAGACTTTAAGCCTCAACACATCGAGCATCTGTAACCTAAGAATCGATTGCTTACACAGTTACACCCATGTCTTTTACCAGTGGTAAAACTAATCACACATTTGTCCCATAGTTATTACGGCGTCGCCTAGGCGTCCAGTCGGAACTTTTTTCTCGCCATGCTCCTTCGACTCGACTTAATTTCCGGAGCTCGCCTAGTCGTCGCCGCAGAGACGCCTAGACGTCCAGTCGGTACGCCTGGGGCGACTTACGCCGTGAAATAAAAAAAATTCCTAGCCCAATTGATCTTAGATGTCCAGCCCAATTATTTTTTTAAAATAACTTATCTCAAGATGCGAGAGAGCCGAGAATTACGATCGACTTCTTGACTTCGGAAATCCAGCTGGGAATTACGATCGACTTATTGTGTGCGATCTTCTCGGATCAGATGCGAGAGAGCCGAGAATTAGGATGCTAGCCGACCCGACCCTTCAATTTTGACGGAATTCTTAGCGACTAGCACTATTCCCGTATGACTATTCCCGTATGACTTTGTATTTAGGCTTTTCAGCTTCTCTTAAATTCCCAGCCACTAGGACTTCCTATTTTCCTTTAAAATTAACCCTATATGTGTTATGTTTTACTATATATTTTCTGTAATTAGAAGATGTCTTCTATCAGTGTTTTCATATTTTATTTTTTATTTTCTATTTCTGAAAAAACATTATATATATATATATATATATATATATATATATATATATATTATTTGTCGCCTAATCGTCACCTAGGCGCTCGCCTAGGCGTCTAGGCGTCATGGCGATACATTGGCGCCGCACCTCGCCTTGGCGCCGTGATAACTATGATTTGTCCTAAAGGAGATAAGACCTCCTTATACCCTGACCTTATAGGACCTTTTTCAATGGTTGGTGGTTGAACTCCCTCCTTCCCTAATCTCTAAAGCGGGCTAAAGGCTAAGGGATTCAGGACCCAATTGTCACACCTTAATTTCACACGGATGGAATCAAAAGTTGGGTGCTGGGGAAAGAGTCAAGTAGAAATTCAGAACTAAGGGGTAGGCTGTAGCAGTTTAAAGGTTAAGGTCAGTGTTATGAAGGCAGCTGTCCTAGGTTTCTGGGTGGAGCTGTGTGCTAGGCAGACTAAGCCGCCATAATTTTATTTTTCAATCTTTTTGAGCAAATCATAAATGGGTTTGTGAGCCTCGATGCATTTACCAAGCCATCTTTTTTTTCTTTCAAAAATATCTATGGGACTCAACACAATTTATTTTCAATCGATTAAAAATTTTGAACCTCTTTTGTCCAAGAGTACTGAAAGGGCACAGACAGCTCCTTTGGTCACTGAAAGGGCACAGCTTCAACAGCCGTGGATGCAGCCTCTTGGCTAAAATTGTGAGGAAAAAGCTGCGTCAATCCTACATATACAATGTTCGTTCCCCTCTCACAAACTATGTGGGTAGCACTTGGTGCACCCGCCAGGTCTAGCCCTTTTATTTTGGCAAGGAAAGGTTACCTATTGGATCCTTGGTTGCAATTCATCTCTCTTCTTAGTCTTCAGTTTCAATTTCAATTTTGATATGGAACAAGACTAGGGCTTCACAACCAATCAACCATCTTCATGTTGCAACTTGCGACCGGCGGCAACCTCACATGCACATGCTTCTCTAGTTTGTGCAGTGTTCAATTAAACACAGTTTTCCAATTTTTCTGCTGCAAACTCCTCAATTTGGGCTATGAGGCTGCTGTCTTTTGTTGCTGCATACCAGAAATTTAGAGAATGAAGTAGAGAAGATCAAAATTATTCTCCAATTTATCTGTTTGCTGTTTCTTTCTGTTTCTCCTTCCCCTTGCACCACTTAATCTTTTTCCTCTTCTCAGTATGGTCAGGGCCAAGTGGTCGACACAAACATATATTCCCTCCGTCTAAAAATTATTTTCTTGTTGCGTGTTACGATGTTTGACTAAAGTTGTTTTCAAATCATTTTATATGAAAAATGGTGTGAAATAAGAAATAAAAATTACATATTTAAAAACTACATCAAAAGTTCTACAAAACTAGAAGTGACATGACTATATTATTTTATCAAATGGATAACGAAAATAGGCAAACAAAGTGAATAAAGTTTGACCCGGATAGTAAACGGGAAGATCATTTTTGGACGGATGGAATAAAAAATTGTAACAGAGGTTCCCATTTGTTTGCAATTAATTTTCATGCCCTCAACTTCTTATAGATATACTTTTGTTAATCTATTCTCATAAAATGAAACCAATCAATTGGAGTACCACTACCACATTATTATGTCCAGTGTTGACACAAAACTAGAATAGCATATCCAATAACTCAGTGTGATTTATAAGTCTCTAAACCAAAGCATTGTCGATTGGGAATTGAAGGGGAGCGTTGACGCACTGGTTGAGGTCACGAGTTTGAGTCATGAAAGCAACCTCTTTGGATAATATAGGGTTAAGTTTGCCTACATTAGACTCCCTCATTTTGTGCACTGAGCTGCCTTTTGTTGATGACTTGAGAATAAGCCGCTTGTAATAATTTGAGTCTTTGGGATTATGTTTGTGTGTGTGTTTTATTGATGGTTGAGAATAGGACTGTTTTGTTTCTGATTTTGTGTCAATAATATTAAATGGTGTGAATCTTTGCCATTTAATACGTAGTAATGTTGTGTGTCAAATAATGTAAAGTGTGAACGATACTGTGTTTTTAGCTGTATTACATCAAAATTGTGTAAAATATTTATGTGATTTTCAATTTATATTGAACCAAGGATTTTTTGTATAAACATGTAGAGTGTCTGCAGCCTAGGCAACACAGATATTTGTCCTATTCTTTCACTATTTTACTCTTTACTTGGTCTTCAAGAATATAGCACATCATGTGCTATCTCCATCCAAACAAATCGGGTTTCTAATACTTGATTCTCTCTTCATCAAGCCTAGGCCCTACAGTTCTCCAGTAAGTTAATCATTTTTCCTCTGTACAGTACTAGTGTCTGTGATCTTTTTTTTGGGGGGGGTGGGGTGGGGGTTCAGTGATGCTCAATTTGGGTTTGGATCTAACAGCAGTTGGACTGATTCATGTATTTTAGGTTGATTTCATCCAATCCATTGTGTCACAGGAATTACAGGATGCTTAATACTTAAAACTGATTATAAGTTATGTTCAGAGTGTAGCCAGTTATGTATGATGCCTAAGTGTATAAGACCAAAAATGCTAAAAGTGGTCTATGATCAATATATACTGCAGACCAAGTTCAAATAGTCAACCAAAAGAATATAAATGTTAAAAGTTATAAGAGCATGCCAAATAATTACCAATAACCTTGAGTATCTCCACGCCCTTCACGAAGATTCAAAAGACAGAAGAAAGTCATGTCATTACATACGTCGGACCTTCAGGTACAAACATGGTTTTTTTTAAAAAAATGATTTTTAATTTTCATTTCTTCCATGTTTTTTCTTTGCAAGTTTTCTTCCTCAATATGAGATGGAAACAATTTTAAGAAAATGGGAAAGCAACACCTTTGAATTTATGGAACTGAAGGGCCACTGTTATTGATTAGTCAAGAGGCAATTTGGCAATTACCCCATTATTTTGATTGGGCAGTGGGCTTTAGTGGGTAAACCACTGAGGCAAGATTATTTCTACTAGCCAATAACTCCACTTTCAATTAATATAGTGCCAAGTGACTTGATTACCTCTGTTAATTAATTATATCATGCATCTACTCATTTCGTCTCTGTTCTCCCTTATCTATATTTTTTTATATAAAGATTATTAACCTTCCACTAAAGGTGAGTGCAATGATGTCGCAGTAGTAAATTACTACAGTCACAACGTTAATAAGATAGTAAGACAAACCTTTAGGACATTCCAAGCAGTTACTTGTGTGCTCCCTTATCTATTTTTTTTAAAAGATTATTAACCTTCCACTAAAGGTGAGTGCAATGATGTCACAGTAGTATTACTACAACGTGAATAAGATAGTAAGACAAACCTTTAGGACATGCCAAACAGTTACTTGTGTGCTCAAATAGTTTCGATTTTAGATATGGTTAGCTTTGACAATTTGTGTGATTAAGGAGCTATATGTTTTCCAAGGAATACAATTGATGTAAGTGAAAAGCGACTAGGGATAATATGTATCTACACACGTATCTATATACATATACGGATCACATTATATTTTAATTAATATTTGCATCACATTATATTTGAGGCCTCTCAGACACAACCTCTACCCTACTCTCGAGTGAGATTTACGATTTTACGGGGCTTTGATTTGCGTTGTGGATTTACTTTTTTTCAATGTGTGTTTTGCGAAATATTGATGTCTCATCTTCTATAAAGCAAGCAAAGAGCCCTGTCAATTTTCGCTGCTTTTCCACATAGGAAAAAATAAATGCTAATACTCCCACGAATTTGAGATTTTAGACAATTACTCCAAATTACACAAATTGTCAAAGCTAACTATCAAAATTTAAACATTTGTATAGTAATACAACATAGAAATTTTTATTGCATTTGTAATCTTTCGACGTTGAGCCGGGGGTCTCTTTGGAAACAGCCTCTCTACTTTCGAGTAGGGGTAAGGTCTGCGTACACACACCCTCCCCAGACCCTACTCTTGTGGGATTTAACTGGGTTGTTGTTGTTGTCTAGTATTTGTGTAAAAATATTTGAATTCTTGGAGTTCCGGCCATAATTATTTAATCTTGGATTATTAATGTAAAATCTTGAATTTCTTAGAGTATTGTTATGAATTTTGCTTCCACAAAATAATGAAAGACAAACTAGATTACAAAATGTGGAACACTTTAGGGACCACAAGTGCAATTGTCCCTTTAATTCAATACTGTACACCCTCTGTCTGGATTTTGTTCTCCATTTGTATACCACAAGTTTAAGGAATGAGGTGAATTGACAAAAATGGATTTGAAATTGGCTCCTCCTCCATTGGCCTAAACAAACATTATAGTATCCTCTCTAGGAGGTAGTTTTGGCAATTTCTCATAATGTGTTTACTAAATATTGTAAGAGGACAGTTAATTCAAAAAGAAAGAGCAGACACATAACTAGTTACTACTAGGGTTTTACAGCAATATAGAAAACCTAGTAATATGGAAACATCCTCTCTTTTATTTATTATTATTATTATTATTATTATTATTATTATTATTATTTTACTTCTATCTATGTATGCTATATCAAAATGTCTTCTCCTTAATCCCCTACTCATGTTGCTTTTATGATTCTTGGGAACTCATCCTTAATATTAGTAGGAATGTAGTATGATCATTTCCCATTCTGACATATGTCTAGACTGGCAAACCAATATTTCATCTGGTTTTTTTTCGGTGTTTTTTCTTTTTATCGCTTGTGTTTTTTTTGTAGAGAGAAGCTCGGCTGGAGCGCAATAGAAGTCGTTCTTTCTTCTCCTGAGAGTCTCTTCTGGTAATGCTTAAAAAAGCGAGGTGTTTGTGCCTTTGTGGCACGTAGAGACTCGGCTGATGCATAATAGAAGTTGTACTAAAGTTTTCGTGAGTATTTTTCTTGAGCAATGCTAGAGTTACAAACTAAATAGTCACAAATTTTACAAACCTACAATTCGTGAATCTCATTAAGAGCAGAAAATAATTTTAGATAATTTTGAAGTAAAAATTTATGTTTACAAATGGTAAGTGTGTGAATTTCATGACTATTTAGTTTGTGACTAACAAGTAATGCCCCCTCAACTAGTTCAAATTTGGTATCGTCAATATGGCGCACTTAAATTTTCACTTAGCATTTAGAGAGTGAGAATAAGGAATTTAAATGAGTGGGAAGTGGCATTAGTCATTTAAGATGTATGATTCTACTCGTTAAATTTCTATCTTTTGCTCTTTTTAAAAAGGAGTAGTCGCTATTAAAAAATGCTTCTTTTGTCACGGATTCTCGAAGGATTATAGTTTAAAATTTCCTTGACACATTTTTTTTTGTCGTAGATTAGGGAACCGTGTCGAATATCGTATGACAAGTCCGTTCTCACCGACCCGAATCCATGACAACATTTATCATGCCGTAGTCACGGGTAAAAATGTTATGGACTGTGAATTTTAAGGAGCAACAACTTATCACAGAAATATTCATGACAAAAAAAATATTTGATTTGCAGGGGGAATAATTTGTGAATATTTTTCTTTTAAAAAAAATAAAAACTAATAACAAATATTTGAAATTTGAGTTTATCTGTCATGACATATCCATTACAAACTAATATTAGTTCTTAAAAAACTGTGCGTCACAGAATAAGCTGTGACAAATTCAATTAGAAATTAAGTCAAGTTACATGTTAACTTTAAATTTTAAATAAAAATTTGCCTGTTCGGAGTAATTTGTCAGAGTTTAATTGATGTTACTATGTACTATGGACCGCATTTTATAGGGCTTTAAAAAGCAGAGTAGTGTAAGACCATATTAACCATATACTCGTAGGTAGTATCATTTCTATTTTTAGAATTACAACCTAAGCATATACTCCCTGTCTCCCTCCGTCTCATAAAGTATTACCCATTTTGACTAAAATTGAAATTAAGGGAGTGATAATTTTGTGTTGACTTTCCAAAAATACCCTTGATGTGATGGGTAAAAGTAGGATGTGATGTGTAGATTATTAGGAAAAAGGTATGATGTAATAGGTAGGGTTTGAAAAAGTAAGGGGTAAAAGTGGTTTTTTAATAGAAATGGGTAAGGGATTGTGGGACGCAATTTTTTTGAAACGTGTAAATCTTTTTGGGACGGAGGGAGTATATTATAGTCTTCTGTGTCTTGGTCATTTGATTTTCTGGTTTGAAACTCGATATGGTTTAAAAAACTAGAAACCTAATAGCATCTCCAACCTTGTATATCATATTGGCTTGCTATTTTTATATTTTAACTAGTGAATAATGACATAGCAAGTGATATTTTGTTGCATTCCCCAACCATGGCTTGCTAATCCATTCTATAACTCTTGGCTTTCTATAATTTGAAGAGCTTGTTATTTGTAACAAGCCAAAGTCATTTTTTGGCAAGTTTGTTAAAATTAAATACACCCATTGGAGAAGAAAAAATAGGTTGACTTGTTATATTATGGCTTTTAGCAAGCGAAAGTAGGATGATTGGAGATGCTCTAAAGAGGCCTTAATTAAGACAATAGCATTTCTCTCACAAAATCAAAAAAAAACTTTCAGTCAACATGAATTTTGATCCTACCTGCAAAAGCAGGCCAAATCCAAAATGTGATACATAAGAAGATAATCCAAAACTTGTACGGAGTACAATTTACAAGTTATTGTCCATAAATTAAAGTACCTTACTAATTATTCCGTACTAAATTTAGATTTCAGTTTCCTTTAGAATCTGATTTCTCACAGTTGAAACTTTATTATTAAGGTCATTAAGGTGATAGACTGACGGTGTTAGTAGAGGTAAGAGATGGGTGTTTTTGGAAAGTCAAAGCAATTTTTACAATCCCTTAAAAATGAGTCCCGATCAAATCGGAAAAAACATTATAGGACGGAGGGAGTATCTCATTTTTTAAACAGCCGGGTTCTCTAAAGATGAACGTATAAAAAGATACTTTTACAACAGAATGGAAGGCCAACGCGAAACAAGCAAAGCTGTTAGTATTTTTTGGAACAAAATAGTTATTACTATGATGTTTTACGTTGAAATGGAAGGCAAACATGCAAGAAGAAATAAACAGTTCTCACTAAAATGTTAAAAAATTAACTAACTATGGAGTAATATTTTCGTTTGTTGTTTTTCAAAAATTTGAATTTCTTATTTTCTTACGGCATGTTTGGATGAAATGATTTTGAAGGGAAATAAAAAGGTAGTGGAGAATACACAAATTTTAACATGTTTTCTCTGGTTTGTTTGTAATTTGTGCCAAGAAAAAAAGTTTTCTATGCCCAAGATGCGAGAAAATTGAGCCACTAAAGAGAAAAGTTATTAAATGACTCTTTTGTCCTTCATCCTAATAACTTATTAATACGACAATATAGAAAGGACAAAATGGTCTTTTTTATTTTAACACATTTTCTTTTCACTTAATTTCTCTTCATTTTCTACTCATCCAAACAACAATTATTTTCCTTCAATTTTTTCTTCATTTTCTTTCTTTGCATTTTTGTTTTGTTCCATTTTCTCTCTTCATCTACACAAAGAATAATGTGGTATTCGGTAGACGGTAGTATGTTAGTAAGGATGAATTAGAATATTGGTACGCCATGTTTTACATGATCTTGAGTATTAAATATTGTCATTTTGTTTTTAAATAACACAGTACTTAATGATTTTAACCAGACTAAACCGTTTGAATAATAGTGACCATTCAAACTACTAATCATATTTTTTTCAAGAAATATTGGTCATTTGATACATTGAAATATTTAAATATTTCGTAACGCTTTATTCTATAAAAATTAAATTAAAAATAAATGTAACACCCAAACCAAAATAAAAAGTTTTTTTGACTACTCCATATATAAATTTTAATTTTATACTCCCTCCGTCCCAAAAAGAATGAGACGGTTTGACTTTTTGGAAAATTAAGGGAAGGATATTTTGGTATTGACTTTCCAAAATTATCCTTGATGTGATGGGTAAAAGTAGGATGTGATGGGTAGATTTTTAGAAAAAAGGTATGATGTGATAGGTAGGGTATGAAAAAGTAAGGGGTAAAAGTGGTTTTTTAATAGAAATGTAACGAACTTTACGGGACGCAGTTTTTTCTAAACGTAACAAACTTTTTGGGACGGAGGGAGTACTAAGTATTAATAATAAATCAAGTAAAAAAATATTCTCTCTGTCCATTAAATTGTTTCTCACTTTCTGTTTTGAACCGTTCATAAATTTATTTCCCATTTCTTATTTTGGTAAAATACTTTTAATAAATGTGTCATTATACCTTCAGCTTTTATCTACAATATTCACATTACCAAATCACATAAAAAATTAATATAGAAAATCTTGCATTTTTTAATTTTTTATAATCTTTGTACCAAGTCAACACACAAAAGAAATTATTAGACAAAAGTAATTATACTACCATTAATTTTACGAATAGGATGAACGGTGGTGGGGTGTATGTGTTCAAGTCGAGGCGGGATGAGAGAATTTACTCGAGATTTAGAGTTTAGGACCTATAAATTTTATGATTGGTACATGCCAACAACTCCGAGTAATCTAATACTCCATTCGTTCTTAAATATTTGCCACATTTCCGATGCAAAATATCAATTTTTTTCAATTTATTTTATATACATATTAGTATAGAAATAAAAAATAAAATTTACATATAAAAAATTACATGAAAAGTTCTTCGAAATAAGAGGTGTCAAGAATATTTTATTTTATCAAATAATCAATCAAACATAGAAATAAATAAAAGTTTCTGCGACTGCTGAAAAAGTAAACATTGTAAATAATTTGGGACGTAGGAGTAACATTAATTTCGAATATTTGGAAAACAAAGGGATAATACTAATCCTCAAACTAATATGGAAAATTGAAAGTTCATTTGTTAGAGGAGGCAGTCCAAGTCTAGTAGTGCTTTGGCACCGAACTCACCGAAGACAAAAAGCAGTCAACCTCACGCGTCATCGCCATTTGCCACTAAACAAACAAGATTCAAAGATGCCTTCTTCTTCTTCTTCGTTCTTATTCCTTGTTTTCCCCTCTTGCAGGATTTACTTATGAAGAAAGCCCGGTGGATTCCCACCTACTCGCATCACATATGCAGCCGTATGTAACTGTGTACCCTTGTTTCTTTTTTTCACAATTGTAAAGATTTATATGTGTGAATTTATCTCTGCTTTTTGCACTGCTATGAAATTTGGGTGTCTCTCTTTCTTGGCCAAGAAGTCCATGGCTGTTGAAAATTGAACTTTTTAAACCAAAAAGCGAAAACTTTTCGAGTCATTGATGACATTAACCTACATTTCTTGTTCTTTCTCGAATTCTATTATGACTTCCTTTTGATCTGGTTGACTTGGTTTTCCCTTTTTTTCTCTGTCTGGATTCTGAAGAGCTTTAATTTCTGTTCTTGATATTTGGGTCAGGGAAAATTCCGCTTCCGAGGCTAAAAAATTGAATCTTGACACATTTTTTGTTGAATCTGGAGAGAAAAAAGAGAGAGGGGGGAATAAAAAAATAATAAAATAAAAGTAGAAATGAATTGCCTGTTCTACTTCAAGGATAAGAGCAAAGGTAGGGGGAAAAGATCCGAGCCAGTGCTGAAAGGGGGGAGTAAGAAATCAGCTGCTAAGAGGTCCACACAGTCTTCTTGTGCAGCCTCAACTCCCCGGAGGTTTTCGGAAGTGTATGAGGGGAAATCTCAGAAATTGAGAGTGTTTTCGTTCCGAGAGCTTAGGCAAGCAACTGATAATTTCCATAGGTTGTTAAAGATTGGCGAAGGCGGGTTCGGGTGTGTTTACAAGGGAAGAATTATGGCTGTTGATGGACATGGTGAGCCCATTGTGGTTGCAATTAAGAAGCTCAATGCTGATGGCCATCAGGTGTGGTAAAACTTCACCCTGAAAATTATAACTATGTTCATAATGACATTTTAGTCATTCATTCAAGAGGGCATTTTCTGTCCATTGCCAATAGAGCTAAAAGAGTCATCATTGACAATGTTTTAGTTTTGGGCACATAATGGACTAAATAAAAAGGACACATTAAACTTCTATTGCCTCCTGCTTTCTATGATGTTTTGGGTAGTAAAATCCATGTAGGGTCTAAGGGAAACGGAGTTGGGATTTTACTAGGTTGTTGTTGTTATTGTTGTTATTTATTGTTCAATAGGGTGTTTGGTACTTTCCATTCGATTTAAAATCTGCTTGCTAAGAGTTATTTGTCTGAAATGGCTGAATCTTCTAAATGCTTTGAAAGGAAAATCATTTGTGACATCAATTTATGCCAAATAAGTCAAAATCTGTTTATAATGTGGATTAAGAAGAATAGAATAAGACAGAATGTTTGAAGGGGAAAAAAAATGTTTTTTTCATACTTCTTCAACAGCCACTATGAAATTCAAATATAGACTTATTGCTTGTTCTTATTTCCACACAGGGCCATAAAGAATGGGTAGCAGAAGTGCAGTTTCTTGGGGTTGTGGATCACCCGAACATCGTCAAACTGATTGGGTACTGTTCTGTTGATGCAGAGAGGGGCATTCAGCGACTCCTCGTCTATGAATATATGCCAAACAGGAGTCTTGATGACCATCTTTTCAACAAGGCTTATCCGCCCCTTTCCTGGCAAAGAAGACTGCAGATAGTTCTTGGAGCAGCTCAAGGTTTAGCATATCTGCACGAACAATTGGAAGTTCAGGTTTTGGCATCCACATTTCTTTCCTTTAACACTATGTTTGGTTCGAAGATTTTGAGAGGGAAAATAAAAGAAAATGAAATGAAAAGCAATTTTTCATGTCTGGTTAAAGAGGAAAAAAAAAGAGAAAAGTGGAAGGAAAAAGAAACTGAGAAGAAAAATAAGCTAAAAAGAAGGAAAACTGGATTCCTTTCATTTTGACAAGGAAAAGAGAGGAGAAATCCTTTTTGGGAAAATTGCTAGCATTAGAGGGCTCAAGCTAATGTTTCCCAATGTCAATCTTTCAGGTTATATATCGAGATTTTAAGTCTTCAAACGTGTTACTAGACGATGATTTCAAGCCAAAGCTCGCAGACTTTGGTCTTGCAAGGGAGGGCCCCACGGGGCTTGATACTCACGTATCCACAGCGGTAGGGAACTTTGATATATGCTGCCACTTGTTCATTATTATGAGATTACTCCTTCCATTCCATATTAACTGCCGTTTCAGACTTTTATGATACATTTAAAAATGGATGAATGTAGACATAGTGTGTGCATTCATTCATTTTTTAATGAATTTTAAAAATCGAATCTCACCATCACTCAGTTTTTTAAAAGCTAATCTTCACACTATGCCATGGGTGTGTAGGCTGTAGGCACATATGGCTACGCCGCACCGGACTATGTTGAAACTGGTCACCTCACAGCCAAGAGTGATGTATGGAGCTTCGGTGTGGTACTGTACGAAATCCTAACAGGAAGAAGATCAATGGAGAGAAACAGACCCATCTCAGAACAGAATCTCTTGAAATGGGTCAAGCAGTACCCGGCGGATAGCCGGAGATTCATACGGATAATGGATCCAAGACTGGATAACCAATACTCGCCAGGCTCGGCGAGACAGGTCGCGAAACTGGCCGACATTTGTTTGTCAAAGAGCCGAAAGGAGCGCCCGAAGATGAGCACAGTGGTGGAAACTATGAATCAGATTCTTCAGAACAGCACTGCTTGTGACTGGGGTGGAGAAGATCCAGTTCTTGATGATGAAGATGATGACCGAATGCCGGATCAGGTGGGCCCCGTCGAGTCAGAAACTCGGCGGATGGCCCATTTGGCGAAACTAAGCGAACGCGTTGGCGGGATGAGCAAGAAAGGGTTTATGATCATGCATAGGGCTAAAGTCACTTGAAAACAAAAGGTCCTCCTCCCCTCCCCCCCCACACCCACATTCTATATACTTATTGAGGCCGGTTCTTTTGACACCGCTCCTCGGTGTCATACATTATGACACCAAACCATTTAGGGGCCCTACGGTGTTCCGTTGAGCCCATAACTGGGTCTTACCCCCCCTTCCCCCCAACTTATGTCACCGCTCCCATGTTTCCAAAATAGTTTTAAATTATTTTTAAAACATATATTTAAATATCAATTTTGAAATGTTAACAATTATACATGTTTTTTTTGCTATTGTAAAATAAATTTTATGGAAGCACATTTTTTTGAGTTTAAGAGTGAAATATGTGAATGAGTCAAGGTAGTGAAGATTGAAAGGTGTGTATCACACAAATAATTTAAATGAAGGGGGCCCACCCAATCACATCCCATGGAGTGTCAACTTCCCAATTGGTGCAACACAAATGGATTGGAATTAAGCAGAAAATGGCATATGTAGTAGGGTTGTGCTGACTTGTGAATGTGGCATTTCCACATAGGTAACTATTGGCTGGCTATCATCAATCAAAATTGTGACACTTTTTTGGCATTGTTGAAATGGTCATCATGCATACATACATTGGCCCATAGATTTCACCCTCTCTTTTTTTTGTTTTGTTTTTGTTTTTTTTCAACCACCACAAGCCACAAGCCAAAGCCAACAAAATCACTTATGGACAAAAAAATAAATGGTTTTCCTTTTAAAAAAAATACTCACTTTGTTCCAAAATGATGAAATACAATTATTATAGATAACATATAAATAAATATTACTCTCTCTATTCAAGAATTTTCCTCCAAATTTCTTGTTTTATTTGTCAATAAATTTTGACTTTTCATTTTCTTTTATTTCAAAGTTTGCCTTGAAAAAATCTACTTAAATCCTTCTACTTTTAATGATTAGCTGCTAATTAATCATCACTTTCCACATATACTAATTTACCATTATTAATCTAAGAGTGGAATTCATTGATTTTTTTCATTTGATTAATATGGGTGTTATGTCAAATCAAGAAGAGAATTCTTAGATATGATTGAACAAGTATAAACATACATAATTACAAATTCTAAAACTGCATTTCAAAATGAAATTAATAATGTTAAAGTAAAATTTTACCTTGATGTTTTCTGAGCATTATGGTAGATAGAATTTATAAATTTGGTCGTAAATATCAAAATGTAAACTTTATTTTGAAATATGGAGGAAAAAAAGTTGAACACTACATGTCCCTTTACCTTATTTAATAATAGGTTCCTTTGGAAAGTGAAAGAATTCATATATATCCCTCATTAAAATTGTCAAAGATTTTGACTTTTGCTAATACAAACTCATTATAATCCCAAGCTTTGGTTGATAAAACAATGCCAAACCATTCATTTTTACCAATCAAAGGGATGAAACAAAAGATTAAATCCACTTTAGGAATAGAAAATCCCATCTCATGATAACATCATTGAGGATAAAGATATATACTCCCACCATTTCATTATTAATTTTCTTGAATGAAATTGAAACAATATGAGAGATGAGTATATGCACATAAATCTCATATCATTAAGATCCAAAGGCAAAGTGAAGTATTCAAAATTCATTTCATGTTCATCATCATTCATTTCACTGATACTGTAATCACTCAGATTCCCAGCTCACCCCCACAGCTGGTGTGCTATGCAATTAAGCTCTTAATTACATAAGCAAAGAGTAATTAATTAATTAATTAATCAACTTATGCATAACACACATGATTATTGATGAATCCACCTGGACTCATGGTGGATTTTTTTTTCTTCTTTTCCTTTTCTTTTTTGAAGAAAGAAAAAAAAAGATTGGATTTTTAAGCCACAGCAACTGTGCCTGCAGTTCTTACAGCTTTCTTGGCGTCTGCTGCAGATTCCTGGGTTGACTTTCTCTGTGCGTTTGACCTTCTCTTTGAAGAAGATGAAGATGAAGAAGAAGATGAAGAAGAAAGCTTCAATCTTTTTTCCCTGGCTTCATCCTTCTCTATCTGTTCTTGCCTGCATTCTTGGCTGCAAAATGGTGTATTTCCTCTGCAATTTCACCCAAAATATGCAAATCAATACACAGACAAATAAATAAATAAAAATTAGACAAATTAATCAAAGAAAAATGTTCAAAATGAACTGACCTGTACATGAAGATGTCAATGTTGTGACTCAAAGGTCTCTGGCAAAGAAAACAAGCTTCAAGAAAATGGGATTTGTATTGGTGTTCTTCACACCCACTGTAGAATTGGGCTCCTCCTGATTCCATTTCTACTAAGAAAAAGATTGAATTTTTGGAATGGGTTTGAAAAGAAAGAGCTAAGAGAAATGAGAATTTTGGGAGGAGAAGGGAAGTGGGGGAGCAGCCTTATATATATAGAGTTATGGGGGGGAATTTGATTATTAACTGATTTTTTCCAGCTTGTTACTGTGTAAGACTCGGTATAATGACTAATAATTTATGGACCATGCTACACTTACACCAACAAATATACCCCATTTGTACACCACAGGTTTGCACAAACATTTCGATGGTTTACACCGACACAAGTGTGGGTGCGTTAATAAAAATTCACACGGACACAAATGTTGGTGCGTTTAACAAAATTTAGTTTTACACCAACACAAAATGTTGGTGCAAAACTGCGGGGTACAAATTGGGGTACAAATCTTGGAGTACACATAGCATAATCCATAATTTATACTCAGTACACTCCAATGTTTTAAAATCATTGCTTCTCCTTTTTTGCATTTCTCTTTTTCAATTTGTCCCACAATAAATTTTATATTTTCCGGCTTTAAATTTCTGGAAATGAATATTTATCGCAAAATAGATTTACTTGGATGTTGATTGTGGAACTTTATTTGGAAGAAGCAAAAACAATAAAAGTGCAAAGGAACTAAGAAAAGTGCAAGTGAAGTACATCAAGTTTATGGTTCTGAATGGATAATCGAAAATTTGATTACCGTCCGCATCCGTATCAATTTTTCACAAGCATCTATTTAAAATGGTTCTTATCCGTATCCGATTAAGGATATTTGATTGGTAAACGGATACCAATTTGGATATCATACATCCGAATCGATTATAATCCACTCTGCATATACATTTGTTTGAATAATAGTTTATACGTGTATTTGACTCATTATAAATAGTTTTTTTAAAATTTTATTTTTCTATCTTGTTTTTTTATTAACATCTCAAAGTATAAGACATCTTTATATCTAAAGTATATGTGTAGATGCACAAATACGTGTGTATGTGTAATCCGGAGTACTTTTTACTATATGGATTTTTCGTAGAATCGTATATATTACAAAAATTAAGAAAAATACTACTCTATGACAAATTATAGTTAAACGAATATATTACACATGTTTACCGTATATAGTTTAATTTGAGTTTGAAAATTTGGAAATGGTTACGGATATATCATATATCCGACCGATATCTGACGGATACAGTTTCAATATTTGCATTCAAATTCGATATCCAATAAAAATAAATGGATACGAATTTGGTAATAACACATCTGAGCCGATAAACATCCGTTTACACCCCTAATCAAACTTTATTGACTGATTTAACCACAAACTGAAATTCATACTTGTAAATCCACAAAAAAATTTATACTCCAATATACCTCTTCACGTGCAAAAGCAATCTATTTTTTGTAAACTTCTACATGAACGTTAATTTTTTAAAACGTGTAACTTTTTAGTCAATAAGGCTAAGATACTACTCCAAAGAGCTCGTTCAACTACAAACTTCAAGAAAAAACCACATATCCATTTCCCAAAAAAAGTAAAGAAGTGTAAGTTTTATTTTAGAGTAAATTTTCAAAATTGTACTCAATAACTATGTACTTTTCCAAATTAGTAGCCAAAATTAACTAATTTCCGAGATGGGACTCGTTCTTTGAGAATAATGCTAAGTTCAATCCCCCTACTAACGGCCGTTAAAACGGTGTTAAACGGCGTTAAATATTACACTACTTTTCCAAAATAATACTCTCTAACCAGGTGTTTTTTTAAATTTGTCCATTTCCGAAATAAAAATAAATTAATTATGAAAAATTAACCGTTTTAGATTATTTACAATTACTTAAAAGAATATCATGTAAACAAAATGTTCAATAAATGTTAAAGAAATTTTTATACATAGGAGTAAAACATATGAAAATAAGTCTTATTTTGGTATCTTTTTTAATATTTTACTTCTATTTAAGGTATTTTCTGTAATGCTTATTAACCATTTAATTTACATGATATTCTTCTAAATAATTATAAATAATAAAAAACATTTACTTTCAAATTTATAACATTATTTTTATAACTTTTAGTATTATATTGTCATCCTATAAAATTTAAAATATTTTTCCATGTTTAATATATTTTTATTTCGAAAATAGACTAATTTGAGAAATCTCCCAACTTAGAAAGTACTACTTTAGAAAATTAGCATAAAGTTTAACATCATTTTAATGCCGTTTTAATGGCCTTAGTTGGTGAAACAAAATTGGATACTATTATCAATTATTGAGTACCATCTCAGGAACTAGATAATTTTGGAGACTAATTTGAGAAAACTTATAATTATTGAATACCATTTTAGAATTTACTCTTTATTTTATAACATCTAAAAATGAAAATTTCATTTTGGGTTTGAAGGATATCATATACCATTCTACCTATTTTACCATGGTACCGTTGTTTTCCACTACAATCTTTAGGGTAAGATTACTCTGTATATAGGTAATATTACTTTAATGACGGTATATTTATTGAGTTTGACTTTTTCGAATTAAAATAGACATAATTTTAGTTTTAATTATTCTTAATTTTTACTGTATTACATATAAGTACAACATAGTAAAATTCTGAAAGTTCTTAACAAGTTAAATATAATAAAATCATTTTTATAGTAATGTCCATCATAATTTTTGTTTAATAGAAGCTTAAGAGTCAAAGTTCATCTTGCTTGATTCGAAAAAAAGTCTTACTAGACAAATATACTAAGACGAAGAAAGTATAACAGTACTTTAAAAAAACTAACTACACTGAAAGGTAATTGTAAAAGTATTCAATTTAGTTAAAGTGTTATTTAGTGCAATTACAGTATTATTTTAAATAGAAGGTTTGAAAATTATACTCCATCCGTCCTAGTGTATTTGTCTAGTTTGACTTTTTCGAGTCAAACTGAACAAATTTTGAGCTTCAATTAAATAAAAACCGTAACGTATTTTAACATAAAATGAATTTATTGGATTTATCATAT